GCAAATGGCCGACAGGCATATGAAAAAATGTTCAACATCACTTGTAATCAGGGAAATGCAAATCAAAACTACCATGAGATACCATCTTACACCAGTGAGAATGGCACATATTAAAAAAAATTAGCAACAACAAATGTTGGCGAGGATGTGGAGAAAAAGGAACTCTCCTGCACTGTTGGTGGGAGTGCAAACTGGTCCAACCACTATGGAGAGCTGTGTGGAGATTTCTGGACCTACTAAACATAGAGCTTCCATATGATCCAGCAATTCCACTGCTAGGTATTTACCCAAAGGACACAGAAACATCAATTCCAAAGAGCACCTGCACCCCTATGTTTAAAGCACCACTGTTTACAATAGCTAAGCTTTGGAAACAACCCAAATACCCAAAAATAGATGACTGGATCAAGAAGATGTGGTACATATATACCATGGAATATTACTCAGCACTCAATAAATATAAACACATGCAATTTGCAGCAAAATGGATGGCACTGGAAGGGATCATGCTCAGCGAAATAAGCCAGAAAGAAAACGAAAAATACCGGATGGTCTCACTCATAGCAGGAATCTAGAAAACTTAAATAAGGGACCAGGAAAATGACTAACTGTAAGAAAGTGAAAATCAAAATCAACAAAAAACTATGAGCCAGAGACACTTTATGGGGGGTGGGGAGGTGGAGGGATTGGGGTCAAAATAAGGGGGTTGCAATTGTATGGGGAACATAAAAATAAAATTTATTTTAAAAAAATAAAAATATAAATTTCAAAAAGACTGTCATTCACCATGGCCAAGTCGATTTCATTACAGGCATGCAAGGCTGGTTCAACATAGGCAAATAAGTGTCATTGACGACAATGTAAAGAAAGTTATTATCATTTCAATGATACTGAAAAAGCATTTGACAAGATTCAGTACACATTGATGATAAAAAGCTGTCAATAAAATGTGAATAGGGCCTCCCTGCTGGTGCAAGGGGTATAAGCACAGTGCTGTGAAGCTGTCAGCAGCCTCTGCAGGGCGGTTTCAATCCCCGGCCAGTCAGGGAACTGCCCACATGGCACAGCAGACCTCTCCTGACTCGCCGGCTGATCCTCTCAGCAGTATATTTCAGTCTATCTTCCTGTTCTGTTCTCAGCTCTGTATCTGGTGAATCCTCTCACCTCCCACACCTCTGGCCTGTACGCCAGTTCTTGTATGCATAAATGGATAAAATCTTTAAAAAAAATAAAATGTGCATAAAAGGAATATACCTCAACATTTAATAAAAGCTATATATAAAAAGCCCACAGGGAAATAATACTCAATAATGAAAAACTGAAAGTATTTTCCCTAAGGTCAGGAGTAAGACAAAGATTACCACTGTCACCTGGTTCAACATTACTGTTCAACATAGTATTTGGAAGGCCTAGCCAGAATATTTAGGCAGAAACAAAGACATAAAGAGTCCAAATTGGAGGAGAGTGAAAACATCACTATTTGCAGATGATAATATACATAGAAAATCCAAAGGACTCTACCGAAGAACTACTGGAAATAATACAGTAAAATTGCAGGATAAAAAATCAATACATGAAAATATTCTCTATATATACATTAAAAAATGAGTTAGGAAAAAATATTAAGAACACAAATCCCATTGGAAACCACACCAAAAAAGATGAAATACCTGGAATAAGCTTAACAAAGGAAGCAAAGGCACTATTGCTATATACTGAAAACTTTAAGACTTGGCAAAGGAAATAAAAGGAGACATAAAACAGAAAGATATCCCTTGTTCATGATTGGAAAAATAACTTAGTTAAAGTGACTATCTTCCCCAAAGCAATTTACATTTTCAGTGCAATACTGTCAAAATTCCAATCACATTCTTCAAGGAGATCGAACAATTAGAAAATTTGTATGGAACCATACAGGATCCCAAATAACCAAAGCTAATCCTCAGGAAATGAAGAAAAATGGAGTATCATGTTCCCTGACTTCAAACTTTACAGTAATAGTGATCAAAAAAGCATGGTATTACAATAAAAACAGAGACCAAAGGTATAGAGCCCAGAATTAAAGCACACAAATATGGGCAGGTAATCTTTGACAAAGGAATTATGAGCGTAGCTTATAGACAAGTGTCAACAAATGGTTTTGGGAAACTTGGACAGCCGCATGCAAAAAATGAAACTAGATCGTTACTTAACTCCATACAAAAATATTAATTCAAAATGAACTAAAGATTTGTATAAGATCTGAAATCATAAAAGAAAACATACATGATACACTACTGGACATCAATCAGAAATGTGTATTTGGGGACACGTCTCCAAAATCAAGGGAAACAAAAGCAAAAATAAACAAATGGGACTGTATCAAACAAAAGCTTTTTTACTTCAAAACAAACTGCCACAAAAATAAGACAACCTATGTGCTGGGAGAAGATATTTGCACATCACAAATCTAACCATTGTAAATTTACAAAATATATAAATAACTCATAAAACTCACCACCAACAGCAAAAAAATCCAGTCAAAAATTGGGAATAAGGGGAATGTAAATCAAATACCACAATGCAATACCATTTCATCCCAGTGAAAATGTGCTATATCAAAAGGACCAGAAACAACAAATGTTTGTGAGGATGTAGAGAAAAAGGAACACTTCCATTATCAGTGGGGTTGTAAGTTGGTGCAGTCTCTATGGAAAACAATACAGATTCCTCCAAAAAATAAAAGTTGGAAATACCATATAGTCCAGAAATAACATTGCTAGGTATTTATCTAAAAAACATGAAAACAGGGCCTTCCCTGGTGGCACAGCGGTTGAGCACTGGGTTGCAAGGCTGCCCGCAGCCTCTGCAGTGCCAGTTTGATCCCCAGCCACCGGCGAGGGTCCCACATGGCACAAAGACCTCTCCTGCCATGCCTGCTGCTCCCCTCAGCAGTGTATTTTGTCATTCTGCCTGTTCTGCTCCCCGCTCTGGCTCTGGTGAATTCTCTCACCCTCCCATGCTTCTGACTGTACCCAGTGCTTGTATAAATAAAATAAATATTAAAAAAAAAACATGAAAACACTAGAATAAAGTGATTTATGCACTCCTGTCTTTGTATCAGCATTATGCACAATATCCAGAACATACAAGCAAACTAAATATCCATCAGCAGATGACTCGATAAGTAATTGTCGAATGTATACTGAATCAAATACTACTCAGCTATTAAAGTGATGATATTAGTGCCTTTTTTGACAAAATGGATGGTTTCTGAAGTGTTTTGCAAAGTAAAACAAATCACGAAGGGAAGGAAATTTACCAGTTATAACTTATGCAGAAAACAAACTGGGAAAACAAGACATCTTAGACTGAAAAATATACTGGCTACCAGAGGGAATGGCGAAGGGGAGGAATGGTGATAGGGCTGTGGCAATGCAGAGGTGGTGGAGAGTGAATGAGACATGCACACATGTGAACTTGTACTTCCTAAATTATAGTTATATAAAGTAGTGGTAAATCAATAAAATTTGAGATTAAAAACAGATACATACTTATAACATCCATGAAATCCGTTTTTTAGTGAGAAGACAGTTGTGTTTGTATTTGTAACAAGAGCCAAATGGATGCATAAAGCACAGAAAAAGAATTATTTCAAGAAATTTTTTGTTTAATTTTTGGTATGCATTCCAAAGTGAGTTCTTTATGTAAATATCCAGAAGCCTGCACTGATAACTTTTCCTTAAAGGTGTACTGCCTATTCAGCTTCCAAGTTAAAAAAAGTTGATTATGTAGTTTTTCTACAATACAAATTTGTCAAATTATAATGAATGCATTTGTTGTGTTTTTGTATTTTGGAATCATTTTGTCTCAGTTGTAATTTTATCATTAATGCTATGGTTTTGTTGGAATGACCTGAAAAACCTGATCTCAGAGAGGGATTTCTTTTTTTCATTTTTATAATCATGTTTGTGTCCAGTAGGAAAATGTAGTCCTGAAAATGTCAAGAAGCATTTTTTTCCTAATTTGTAAATTTAAGAAAATGTTATTTCTGTAAAATTTTCGAATTGGTCCTCCCCTGGTGGTGCAGGCATTTGAGTACAGCTCTATGAAGCTGTCCGCAGCCTCTGCAGTGCCGGTTCTATCCCAGCCAGCCTGCGAGGGTCCCACATGGCGCAGCAGACCTCTCCTGTCCCGCCCGCTGCTCCCCTCAGCAGTGTATTTCGTCAGTCTGCCTATTCTGTTCCCTGCTCTGTCTCTGGTGAATCTTTTCACCCTCCCGCGCATCTGGCCTGTACCCTGGTCCTTGTATTTAGAACAGTTTTTGATTTTAAACTTTTGAAGTAGTTTAGAATTCATATATAATCATGTTTTGTTCTAGATTTTGAAATGTTCTATAATTATTGGAACCTGAATTTTAAAAAATACATTAATCATTTGTAATTTTTTAAGATTTAATTTTATTTATGCATACAAGAACAGGGGTGTAACAGGTCAGGGTGTGGGGGTGGTGCAGAGACAGAGTGGAGAGCCCAACAGGGAGATTTACTGAAACACATTGCTGAGGGGAGCAGTGGGCAAAACAGGAGAGGTCTCCTGCACCATGTGGGTTATCTCCCTTGCCAGGGATCGAACTCATGCCACAGTGGCTGGCATTAACTTGATAGTGCTGAGACTTTAACTCCTGTGCCACCAGAGAGGCCCCAATCATTTGTATATTCATTTATTTACTCATCATATTGAGTGCCTTCTTTGTATGTTTAGGATCTGGGTACAGTAATGAAAGTATATCTTTGCCTGTGGTGCTTATAATTTTGTCTATATAAACAAAATAAGGAAGCAGGCTATGGTAGACTATTGTTAGATTGATGACAGATTAACACATTTACTTAACCATCTTCAAATTAGCTTGAACATCTGTTTGGCTATTCATAAGAATCCAGTTTACAAACGTTACTTCTTATATGGTTTTAATCTCACTTCTATTTATTGTACTCTTAACACACCATTTACTCCAAAAGCAGGTGCAGTTAACATCCAGAGCAGACCACAAAGCCATAGCAGTGGAGAATTTAGCCTACTTCTTGATCATGAGGCTTGGTCCAGCAGTGGTAGCAGTCCAATTCAGTACTTGAAAAGACAAACCAGATCAAGTCCAGTACTACAGCACAAAATGCCTGAAACACTGGAAGGTCGAACATACCACAAAATCAAAACTGGTTCCCCTGGAAGCGAAGTTGTTACACTACAACAGTTTTTGGAAGAAAGCAGCAAGCTTACCTCAATACAGGTTAGTTTTATCTATAGTGAACTTAATTTAGATGAATATCACAAATAAATTTGTATGATTGAACTTTAAAGCTTATTTTATGTTAAGGAGTAGATATATGAACAGTTTCATATTGTACAAAATACATCAGGAAAATAACTGACTGTATTCATTTATTAATCTGCTTTGGTTTTTTTAACAGATAAAGTCTTCAAGTCAAGAGAATCTTTTAGATGAAGTAATGAAAAGCTTGTCTGTCTCTTCTGACTTTTTGGGAAAAAGTAAACCAGTTAGCTGTGGTCTTGCCAGGTCAGTCAGTGGAAAAACCCCAGGAGACTTCTATGATAGATGGACAACTAAGCCTGAACAGTTTGTGAGACCTGGAGCTCAAAAGACTGAAGATAATTTTTCCATTAGTTCTCCAGGAAAACCTACATCAGGCACTCAAGGAAAAATAAAATTAGTAAAAGAAACTTCTCTGTCACGACAATCAAAAGATAGTAATCCTTATGCCACTTTACCTCGTGCAAGCAGTGTGATCTCTACTGCTGAAGGAACTACCCGGAGGACAAGCATCCATGATTTTTTGACCAAGGACAGTAGACTGTCTATGTCAGTTGATTCACCACCAGCTACTACTGCTGATAGCAACATCACTGCAGCATCTAGTGAGTACCCTTTACACCTATGGTCCTCTCATACACCTCATGGTCCAACACATGCTATAGACTCTCATGCACACAATGATTTAGCTATAGATTTATCTGAGTCTCTATATGCCCAGTCTAGAAGCTCAAGAACAGAAAGGTCACGCTTTCCAAACCAAACTTTTGTCACTATTAATATGTCTAATGATGAATTTGTAATATCAGCTAAAGATAGCATAGAGTCATTTACTGTGGCTCATCCATCTCAGCCTTTTTTATCCTTGAATACAGAATTAGTGAGTAACATTACTGGGCTACCTCCCAGGCCAGTCATCAGAGTGACAGACCAGGCTTCTGCCTCTTTGGATAAAGTTGCACAAAAAGATATTGAACAGTTTTCTAATAATCAGAACCCTAGAAACAGTAACCCATACTCTTTTGTAAATAGTAATAATCTTATCACTCTTGCATGCCACTATCCTGATGACACAGAAACTGCATTGTTAGTTTCTGAGGATAATCAAACTGTTTGGTATGAATATGGTTGTGTATGATCCTTTGATATATACTGTGCTCTGTAATATGATTTGAAGAGCTTCTGTTGAAAAGTATAACTTAGCTAGGTTTATATTTTACTTTTAAATTGTGATGTAGTGTTAAGCTGTACGTGATGGCATTTATATAAATGTGAATGTGTAACCACACCAAAGCCTGCATGAAATATTAATTGCATTGTGCTTTTTCTGCATGACTTTAAAAACCTTAGCAGTGTATTTTCTTCCTTTCAAGTTTCTTATGGTTTCTTATGGTCTGATAAGAGACTGTTGCTTAGATACATAGAAGCATGTTAAAATTGTTGCATGCTATAATAATAAGAAGGCATTTCCAAGTCATGTTTATTTTGGTGCTTCCAAAAAGAATGATCATTTCGCCTACTCTCTCATTTCCCTAGCTGTCTCTTTCTCACTCCTTTTTTTTCCAGAATGTGTACTTCATATTTTGCATATACAATAATAGTGAGGAAAATATTTTAAAAGATATCATTTTCTTTTGCCATTAAATTGTGCTTTCCTGTTTCATTTTCAAATAAATAGTTATAACTGAATTAACACTACGTAGCAAGTAGCAAATTCTGCCTCTATTTATAAAGTTACTCAATACATTGTTAATATTCATTAATGTAGTGTAATTTTTAAAAACCCATCAAATTTAAATGTGGCTTATACAGTGACTAGGAGCATTTGTATTCCCCTTTGCACTTTTCTTCATACAAGAGCTCAAATACCTATTCTATAAAATTATATTTTTACTTGGAATTAATTAATAGTTCTTCCCATTTTTATATAGACTCTAAGAGAATAAACCAAATCATACTCAGTGTGTTGGAAATCTGCATTTTTTTACTTAGGTTCAAAAAGGTAGGAAATTTACAAAGTGATAAGATCTGTTACTTCTGTAATTATAATTTATTACTAAATTATATATGTTTATAAATTGGAATTTTCTAAAATGAGTACATTGTGCAAAATAAAATACACAATTTGGGATTTGTGGCCATTAAATAGTATATTTTTAGTAGAAGAAACTTCACAAAAAGGATAAACTCTGAATTTTAAAAAAAAATGAAAGAGAAAATATTGCTGTCTCTAACTCTTAAACCCCATCCATTTGGGGAGTGTATCTTAGTTCTGTCTCTGGAATGTTACTGCTATTTTGATTGAGCCTAAACATTACTGATAATAACTCAGCCTGGCATCTCGAAGGAATGCTTTGAAATGTAACTTTCTAAAAAAGGAGAAAGTTTATTATACATGTTATATTTTTGTTATATTAAATTCGTTTTAATTGGGCCATAGAGAATCTTTGCTTAATGAAATTTATAATCCATTGTGATTTAAACCATCCTTTTGTATTTGTACATCTTTTGAGGTTCTAGGCCCCTTCCATTTTTATCTTTGATCATACTTCTTTCTCACTAAAAATGGTTCTAATACAGGCAGTGAAATGAACACAGTCAGAAACATTTCATATATATTAAAGTATCACCTAAAATATTTTCTACATGATTACATTAATCTCTTCTATGGTCAGTCATGTCACAGTCCTAACATTTCAGATACTTCTAGTGTCCATTTTCTTTGCTTATATAAGGTAATAGTAAAACTTAATGATAAGTATAGAAGATATTAGATGGGGACTGTAGATGAGACAGATACTGTAATTAGCATTATTTCTTTCTACATTGGATTATTTACAACTGTTTCAACTTTTTGGGTGTTATGAATATGATACTAAAGTTGTGCAATATAACTTGAGAAATAATGTACTATTATATTAAACACTGTGATTATTTTTACAAAATTAGACTTACAGAACAAAAGTATTTCTAACCCAGATGGCTATAGTTACATATACAGAATGTTTTCAAAAAGAACATATTGTGCATGTAAGACAGATACATACCATGTCCATGCACCTTGAGCATTGTCTGAGAATATAGACTAGACTTTCTCCAGAAACTGACAAATATGGAGTCATAAAATTCCCCCAAATTGTAGTTTATTACCTCTTTCTTCATAGAATTTGGAATCATTTTTCATGGTGAGAAGAAACTTAGAAATGATACATAACCAGTGTTTCCCAAGCTTTAAAAATTAAACATCATACTTTCTATAAATATTAGACATGCCCCAAATTAAAAAATAAACTTTTATTTTTAAAATGAAATAACTCTCAGTTAACCAGCTATACTTTTTTCTCTGTGTCATTTCCATAAATATCCTATGGCTTCACAAAGGTTTAATTGAAAAGCAATTTGGATATTCAGTACCCTCACTTTTTAAATGATAAATCTGAATAGTTTTTATATTCCTAGTTTAGGTTCTGTTATTTATATGACATTGTATAGTTACACTATTAGGCATTGGGTCCCCTTTGATCAAAAAATTTTAGTTGGAATAGGGCAAGTATATTATTTGCTTATAAAGAATCCTCAGGCCCTGGGTTTATCAGCAGATGATACAAATACTTTATTGTGGATCCATCTGCTGTTGTATTCAAGATTAGTTTTTATTTTAAAACTGTATGTGGACATTTCATAAATAAATACAGTAAGTAAAGAGACAATGGACGTAAGAACATTATTTGTAAATTTTAAAATATAAAAATTAGTCATTAAGTAATGCTTTAAATATCTGTTGGATTAATAAATTTCACAGAACTAGATTCCTTCCCCTTTCCATACTCAGTAAAAGCTCTTTGGTTTCTTAACTTCATGAATTGTAAAATGTTTAACTTTGATTAAATAATATGAAATGCTTTTCTCCTGCAGATGTGGACAAAGTACAAGAAAGCAGAAATTCAAAAAGCAGGTCTAGGGAGCAACAAAGCTCCTAATTCTATTACCCACTACATGACATGTGGGCCAAGTGGTGAGTTTCTTGCTTAAAATGTAAATGAGATTGGACTCATTTATACAAACTAACCGCATTTAAGTTATAAGAACAAGGCACATTGCATTAACAGATGTAAATATTGCTTGCTTAATTCATGACCTTCTGTCTTACTAGTAAAGCAAGATTATTTGATTGCCGTTAAGTTTTTGTCTGTCAGTTCATGAAACAAACCTTTAAAAATTATTCTTTTCTCCTCAGTTTAAATGTGATTTTACTAATTAATATTTTTAGGAATTCCTTTTTTAGTTTCAAGTGTGTGGGAGTGAGAGAGAGAGAGAAAGAGAGAGAGGGAGGGAGAGAGAGAGAGTGTGTGTGTGTGGGGGGTAGAAATATAAATTCCCCCCCCCCCATTTTCTTGATAATTGAAAATAAACTAAATATCATTTCAGTTAGGAGTCAGAAAAATTGTCTCTATCACTGTCTCATTCTTATAGAACTGTCTGGTGCATGCTGTTCTTACACTGGCTTCTCTTTAGTTTACAACTCTCTTATCTTCAAGCTTTTCTTAAATTTTCTTTCTTCTTTCTACCTTCCAATTAAATACAGAGAGAAAAGTGTCCTTCAGTTTCTCAGTATGAAGCCTTTATTTCTGAAGTAACAAGACACCCAACTATAGGAATCATTTTTAAACTCTTTAAGGAGACTTTAAACAATCCTTCGTGACTAGAGCAGGCAAGAAATACAAACCTTCATTCCTTCCTTGAATCAAGGAGCACTACTGGAGTCAACTGCCAAAATTTTTAGAAGGTTTTAGAACTTACTACACTCTGTTAAGATCTACTGAATAAAGGATGTTCTCTCGCTAAGGACCAAGTGTTTTAAGGTTTCAAGAAGTACACCAAGAACATCTACTTCTTTCATCATTTGTTTATGAATTTATCTGTTTGCTTAATGCTTCTGCTAAGTATTAGCCAAAATCTAGCCATTTATATTTAGTTGTGTAAATCTAAATTAAATGCTGTAGTATGTGGTGGAATGTACTATATATTAAGATACAGAGAACACTGCTTTGGCATGTCAGAGCCTTATTTGGCTAGCAGACTGCATGTGTTGGTACTCCTTTTTTTTTTTTAAGCCAATTATTTTGACGCACTGCAAAAGAAATTCAGTTTATAAGTAAATCTAAAGAATTCATGAGAAAGGAGTTATAAAAAATGTACAGTTAATCTTTCTGTATTCCCATTAAGCAACACTAAGCATTCATACATGGATCCAAGGTAATTAAAGAGTGTTTTTCTGAAACTTTTTGGTAAGGTGGTTTTCCAACAAATGGCATTCCCAAGATAAAACTGTTGTATTTTAACTCATTTCCCTTTTTTAGCATTGGGTTATATATGTGTGTTTGTTTTTTAACTTGAGAGCTGACTGTTGCTTAAGAAGTTTTTCTTATGGCAAAAATAATGTAAATAATTTACTATTATCTGCATTTTGCCAAGGATTCATTTATTACTAAGACTATCACTAAGATTTTTGGTTTTGTCCTTTATATTATTACAGTTAAAGTTGGTAACTATTACTGGTACTTTTGAACTATTTGTATGCATTTGTTACCTTAAACATTTGAAGGAAGCACAAAAAATAGATTTAGTTAACCCAGGGACACATTAAATTTTTTGTAGTTCCAATTTTATATCACAGTTTTATTTTCTTATGAAATTAAAAAATGCATTAATACTTATTAATGCAAATTCATTATTTAACATGCATATCAGAAAAATCTTAAAGGTCTAAAATAAAAAAGATAACTTTTTTATTTTAACAGTATACTTCTTAGGCTCTCATTACCAGCTCTAAAGATCTTTTTGGAATAATTCATGTTCCATATTGTGTAGTTTATGAATTGTGTTTTTCCTTACTAATCCAGTAGCTATGAGAAATATATTTGTCTGTCTGTTTCTCTTCCTTCGTACCTCCCCTGTTGTTTTTTGGTAGACCAGTAGCATGTTATGTTCATAATCTACTTTCAGAAAGACCATTAATAAAAACAGCGTGTATACTTGACCAGAGCTAAAATGAAAGTTAGAAAACTTGGACTTAGTCAACTTAATGCCACAATTAACTTAGGTTTTGCCACCAAATAATAGTGTAAAGCTAAATCACTTTTTTCCCCCCAAGAATGGTTAAATCACTTTTAAACTCTTGGATGAAAGGTGCTATGTAAATATAAATACAGAGGATTCTTACTAAAATACAAATAATGTACAACACACATATTTAAAACCTTTCTCTAGACCTTGAAACACCTTGCTCTTATCATGACTCCCTAGATTCAAGTATCACATTGATAATGGGTATCATGGCAGTCTAGAGACACTTGCATGTAAAAAATGTAAATTCATTTTTAGGTGGGTAATACAGTAGATGGGTAATTTAGATTTATATTAACTAGCATCCAATTTGCACAACTAGGACACATCACAGGACAGTTACTGAAAGTTGAAATTTAATGAGTAGGAGGTACCCCAATGAGGTGAATGGTATCACCATTTGACTGCTCCAGGACACTAATGTTCTAAAACAGGGAACCTGCTGACTTAACAATACATTGTTGCTTTAAGTATGAAATGCTTAATGGCAGCCCATAAAGTATTAGATCTAAGTAAGCTCACCCTGAGGAAGCTCAGTTAGAGAAACAACCATGGGAACACTTAAGACTGCAAAAGTATGAATCTCAATTATATTTATCATCTTTCTCATACCCTTTCAAGAAAAGACTAAATAACCACATGAGTATATTTTTCCCCCAAGATACCTTCAGAAATAAACTTAGTAGGAAGTCATTCTTTTTCCCTTAGATGAACTTCTACCAAGCAAAATAGTATGGCCAGCTAGAAACTAACTGGAACCCTTTACCTGACGAGGGCCTGACATGCTTTTAATTATCTGGTTCTATTGTCAGACAATATCTAAACCCCCAAAGAAACTGAAGAATTCAATAAATAGGGTAATAGCTTCAGTCTGGGCCTCCAATAAAGTGCTTAAGATCTGGCCATGTGAAAATGTTTGGTCCAAGTTTTTGAACCAGTGGTTTACCAAAGAATTCATGAAACAGGTTTGTGTATATAGCACCTTTCATGCAAGGCATGGTAAGAGCCTATTTAAAAATCACTGTGCATATACAGAATTAAAGCCACCTCACAAAAGCATTACAGCCTGCACTGTCTTAACAGTTTGTCAGAAAGTGGAAAACATTGTACCAAATCTGGAATTACAATGAGGAGTAATAATGTATGCTAAATGACTTCTGTATTTTAAGTTACTTTTTATGATAAAAGTGGTAAATTTTTGTGTTTTTCTCTCCTGCAGTACTTAGTCCTGAGATGTATTTTTTTTTTCTTTAAGCCTTGAATGATACAAAAGGAGCCCATTTTATAATATAAACTTGATGTACATGTTGAGAGATATTTGGACAACAATGAAAATGCCTTAAAAGGAATGCTTATGGATAAAGTTGCACTTACAACACCCTTTAACAAAACCTGATTTTAAACTGTTTTTCTTTTCTATTAAGGGTTCTCTTTTTCAATGTTTGCCATTGTACTTTACAACTGTTATTAAATACCAAATCAAATAATATGAAAGCGGTAATACTTCCTTTAAAAGTAATGCTGAGGAATTTGGAATTGAGTGGTACAATATTTATTATTTGGCAATCCCTAGTACCAATCACAGAAATCCAGTTCATAGCAAGAGACGCCACAACTTGATTTGTCTTTCTTAAACCATTTTTCACTTTAGTTTCTATTTCTCCTTAAAAAATAAAGCTGGCTTAACATTCATTTATCAAACTGATATAAAAATAAAGAGGTGCTTTTTTAATAAGTGACTAGTAATTATTTTAAAAATCATACAATTTTAGCCAAGTGTTACTTTCCCTTTTCCCTGGAAAATCTATTTCTAGACATAACTCATACCCTTGTTTAGTTGGTTCTGTTCTCATCATTTGAGGAAAGGGGGGATGTAGCAGAGGTTTTGGGTGAAAGTGTCAGTTCTATCAATCCCAAAAGAGGTCTAAATACAATCTATTAGACTGTAAAAATCTATCTCCTTCATTTTTACTTTAGTAGGCAGAATGTTTGAGGTGATAGCCAGCCTTTTGTTCTTGTGTAAGTCAGTCTTTCAGAGCTAATTCTTATCATAAAATGGGGAGGGCAGTTAGACTAGTTAGCTGAGGTCCTTTGGTGTCTTTGATTGTATACATTTAATATTCATTTTATATGTAAAGCAACCTAAAATTGCCTCTTAGAAATAAGGGTAAAAACTGACATGGTGTCTCAGAAATGAGGTTATTGTTTATGGAAAGTATTTCCTACTAACTCCACATGTCTTCAATCCAGTCTATATTTTATAAAAATTCTGCCATGAGTGGACATGTAGTACCTAATCATATGTATCAAGAAATATTTTGCCATTTAGTTAACAGAGATTGATTGGTACAAATACAGTAGTTACCAGATGGAAATTGAGTGATGAAACTTAGAAAAATAATCATATGAATATCCCACTTGATTGTGCTAGAAAAAAAGATGAGACTTTACATGATTAGAAATTATTGTAGTCTATGTCAGTCCCCCCTCCACTAATGAAGGTTTTGTTTAAATAAGGGGGCAAAATGTGTCAATTTCCTTCACTATTTCTGAACTACCTTCTGTATGACAACTGACACACTATCCTGAATTCTTACACTGTTTCAGAGGCCATAATTGAAAGAAACTAGTAAAATTTAATATACCTTATATACACAATGGAATATTCAGCAATCAAAAAGGATAAAACTCATGCTATTCACATCAACATGGATGGAGCTAAAAGGAATTATGCTCAGTGAAATAATCCAGAAGGAAAAAGAAAATATTGGATGGTTTCACTTATAGCAGGAATATAGGAAACCAAATGAGACATCAATGTAAAAAAATAACAGTACAAAACACAACAAAGCAAAACCAGATAATTATAAATCAGAGACATACTGCAGGGAGGAGGGGGGAGAGGGATCAGAGGGCGGAAGGGAGGAGAACAGGGGACTGCGTAGATGGTGCATTGGGGAAGGAAATTATGGGGACTACACCTGAGGGAGTGGGGGGAAGCAAGTATTGTTTAAAAATGAACAATGGGGCCTCCCCTGGTGGCGTAGGCGGTTGGGCAGTGCTGTGAAGCTGTCGGCAGCCTCTGCAGCACAGGTTTGATCCTGGCCAGCCAGCGAGGGGCCCACATGGCGCGGCAGACCTCTCCTGTCTCGCCTGCTGCTCCCCTCAGCAGTGTATTTCGTCGGTCTGCCTGTTCTGTTCCCCACTCTGGCTCTAGTGAATCCTCTCACCCTCCCGCACTTCTGACTCTATCCAGTGTTTGTATAAATAAATCTTTTTTAAAAAATTAATATAATAAAAATGTTCAATCTTGCCAACTTCAAAAAAAATTTAATATACCCTAGGAGAAATTTTAAGTATGTTGACATTTTTAACCTCTGAACAAGGGATTCAACAAATCAGTAATGGCCTATATATGTATTCTGAGTTTTGGCCCCCCCTGGTGGTGTAGTGGTTAAGTCCCAAATGGGCCTGACTTCCATTTGGGCCAGGGAGCCAACACGAATATGGCACAGCAGACTTCTCGTCTCACCTGCTGTTCTCCTTAGTCGTCATGTTTAGGTACATCTGCTTGTTCTCCCCACTGTCTCTGGAGAATCCTCTCATCACCTCCCCCACCTCTGGCCTATACCCCAGTTCTTCTATGCATAAATAAATAAAAAATCTTTTAAAAGAATGTAGCTTTAAAGTATAATGATTACGGGCCTCCCCGGTGGCGCAGCGGTTGAGCGCTGGGTTGCGAAGCTGCCCGCAGCCTCTGCAGCGCCGGTTGGATCCCCGGCCACCGGAGGAGGGTCCCACATGGCGCGCAGACTTCTCCTGCCGCCCGTTGCTCCCCTCAGCAGTGTACTTCGGTCCTTCTGCCTGCTCTCCTCCCTGTCTGGCTCTGGTGAATTCTCTCACCCTCCCGCGCTTCTGACTGTGCCCAGTGCTTGTATGTATAAATAAATAAATAAATAAATATTTAAAAAAAAAAATAAAGTATAATGATTACAATATACCATTTTTCCATCTATTTTGAGTGTTTTCTACATTAAAAATTTCTAAAGGCATACTTTTATAGAAAAGTTAAATTAGGGGGTCTCCCTGGTAGCTCAAGGGGTTAAGATGCAACCTATGAAGATATTAGCAGCCACTGAGGCATTGGATCTCTGGCCAGGGAGTTATCCACATGGTGCAGCAGACCTCTCCTGTCTTGCCCATAGCTCCCCTCAAGTGTTTATCGCTCCCCTCAAGTGTTTATCGGTGTATCTGCCTGTTCTGCTCCCCACTGTCTCTGGTGAATCCTCTCACACCCCACACCTCTGGCCTACACCCCAGTTCTTGTATACATAAAATCTTTTTTGAAAAGATTAAATAGCTTATTTTTCACTGGAAAGAAAATGTTTTTTAAAAAAAATCCTTTAATGTAGTTCTCCCCCTTAATCCTGTTTTTTAAAATTATTTTATTAGCTTACTCCTTAATCACCATTCGCCAACCACTATCAGTTTTACATTGCTTTTGATTTTTTCGCTATACATAGACTACCATATGTAGAATTTTCAATATGCTCATTTTGCAACTTGCTTTTGTCAAGTACAGTGAACACTAATCTTAGTTTCAATGTTTTTTTTAAAGATTTATTTATGCATACAAGACCTGGGGTACAGGCCAGAGGTGTGGGGGGTGAGAGGATTCACCAGAGACAAGAGTGGGGAACAGAACAGGTGGATTGACTGAAATACACTGCTGAGGGGAGCAGTGGGCGAGACAGGAGAGGTCTGCTTTGCCATGTGGATTGCTCGGTGGCCGGCGGGGATCAAACTGGCACTGCAGAGGCTGAGGACAGCTTCACAGCGCTGTGCTCAACTGCCTGCACCACCAGGGTGGCCCCCGTTATTTTTAATTGTTGAAGGCATTCCTGTAATGAGTAACTGTCATTAGGGGGTGAGGGTGAGACTAGAATGTGTTTGAACTAAAACTATATATATATTTAAAAACAGTTCATTAATTGGAAATGAAATAGTCTTCAAATGATTTTAGGTAGTCATCAAACCAAGGTGCTAGATATTCTTATCACTTTTAATGCCACTTATATATTACAAATAAGAAAAGCAGCTTCCCACAATAAATGTATTTTAGGGCCTCCCTGGTGGCACAAGGGGTTGGGTCATAGCACTATGAGGCTGTTGGTAGCCACTGCAGAGTGAGTTATATCAAGGGGGCTGGCACACATGGTCCAGCAGACCCCTCCTGTCTTGCCCACTGCTCCCCTTAGCAGTGTATTTCAGTCAATCTGCCTGTTCTGTTCCCCACTCTGTCTCTGTTGAATCCTCTCACCCCTGCACCTCTGGCCTGCAACCCAGTTCTTGTATGCATAAATAAATACAAATCTTTTTTAAAAAACACAACAAAATGTATTCTAAACATTACAGTCAAATCAGTTTTTATTGAAATTTAGTATTATGGGATCATGTCCTGTTGTCTTCACAAATGTGAGAAAATCTTCAGGGCTCAACCCCATAGATGCAGCATTGGTCATTGGATGAAAGTACACCTTTTCATGTCCACCTTCCAAAAATGCAGAATCCAGAACAAACTTCACATCTCCACTATCACAGAAGAGTGCCAAGGGTGTGGCACAGCCTTTGCCAACTTTGAGTTTTTCTAGCATGGCTGTTTCATCAGCAAACCGCAGATTTCCACTCCCAACTCCTAACTGCTTGGCAAGATCATTCAAATTAATATGTCTATCATGAAGAACTGTCACTAGCCAATACCCTTTTTTCTTTTTGTCTTTAAGAAATAAGTTCTTACTATGTGCTCCTTTCAAATGCTGGATATGTGGCATCATTTCTTCAACTGTAAATACCTGTAAAATACCATAATAAGTATAAGAATAATACACATGAATACACATAATTTCACTTATATTGTTACATATTTGCTTACTGGGTGAAACAAAGCAAGCCTAAGGAGTATTCAGTTCCCATGTTTCACTGGTAGAGATCCATTTCTAGCACACTGCCAAATGATTATAAGCCCTTGGGGTCACTCTGGCGGCTCAGGGATTAAAAACACTGCCCTCTCAAGCTGTCACTAGCCACTGCTGTACGAGTTCAATAGCTGGCCAGGGAGCTGACCCACATGGTGCCAACAGACCTCTCCTGTGTTGCCCGCTGCTCCTCTCCCAATTCTGGTGAATCCTCTCACCCCACCACACCTCTGGCCTACACCCCCAGTTCTTGTATGCATAAATCAATCTTGAAAAAAAAATTAAATTCCTCATCTCAGGGGTCTCATGCAGATCCTTACATCAATTCTCTGTTCCACTGTGCTAGCCAAACATTTTTAAAATCCCGTTTGTTTTTCCTTTAAACTTCTAATACTGAAGGTTTATAGCAGTCGGGACCCCTACTTCTTACATCCAAACGATGTGACAGCCTCTACAAATGTGTAACCATAGCGAGGGGGAGAGGGCTGGGAATAAGACCCAAATTAACACCAGAAAAGCTGGCAATGTGCACTGGTATAGAAGGGGGCGTATATGACTAAGGAGAGGGAGGAAGGTCAGAAAAGATTCCATGTCTCAAACCAAACGCCCAAAAATAGATGACTGGATCAAGAAGATGTGGTATATATACACAGTGGAATATTACTCAGCAATCAATGCCATTTACAGCATCATGGATGGAGCTGGAAAGGATCATACTCAGTGAAACAAGCCAGAAAGAAAAAATACATATATATTGGATGGTTTCATT